GCCGAGTCCGGCCTTATTGGCTCAGACGTTTTTCTGAATTAGGCCGATAATAATTACGATTTTGTAAAATTTTATATAACTTTTCTTCTCAGTTTAACCCAATCTACTATAATCTTTGGGGTCGTCCATATCGAATCTGACACCCTGTATATTACTGCATTGGGCCGCAAACAGAAGAAAGATACGGATTTGATAAATTCACTTGACGATGGGGTAATGCTACCATAAATAGATTTATTAACATCTTGCACTATTTTATCCATTACATAATATATTATTACATAGATGATACAGCAGCTCAAACATAATCTCAATAATCCGAATACTACAGATGGAAATAACCGAACTCGTAAGTTTATTCACATTTCATATAAAAGTTATGAAAATGCTTTCGTTTGCAAAATGATGGCAATATAAATTGTTCGGAACTATCTAAAACAATATTAAATACTTTCTTTTATTAGTATACATTTCCAGAAAATTGTTTCTACTTAAATTTACTTTTAATTTTTATATAAAAATGTAGTTTAGGTTTAAAATTAAAGTTTTCCAGCATATAATTAACAAAAATTATGTTCATATTTTAAATGCTTAGTTTAATTTAATATGTATATTTCTTTCGTTATATAGATACAACTTTTTACCAAATTCTGACGGAAGCGTCGCAAGAAATGAACTTCACAGACAAAGATTTTCATGATAATATTATGACTATGTTGCTAACGGTACAAACAATGTTTTCTAATACTTATACAATAAATAAAAAACTATATATATGTATAATGTTAAAGTGAATTTATATTTGCAGGCCAGTGACACAATTTCTACCGTAATCAATTTCGTGACGTTTGTACTGGCAAATTTCTCTGAAATACAAGTAAGTATAAAATATATATATGTATAATATATTAAATATGTTTCTCTATATAATATTGTATGTCTTTATAATTCTTTATAATTTTATGTAATTCTATATAATTTTATAAATTTATATGAGAAAACTTGTTCATTTATAATTTTATCTAATTGTGTATACATATACAGGGTGAGTACAAAGTACCGGACCGGTGAAATTCTCGACAAATATGGGAGTAATGGAAAAATGTTTCAGACAAAAATACTTTTTGAGATATTCAAGAGAAAATTTATAACTTTTTCAATGTTTAATTTATAATATCGCGATAACTGTCTGTCGGAGGGAAAAGTATAGTAGAGGACTTTTTACTTGTAGTCTCAAGAATATGCTGTAGCAATGATGTTTCAATTATTGAAAATTTTTGTGTATTGTAACACATAAAATTTATTTTATTTGTTACAATACACAAAAATTTTCAATAATTGAAACATCATTGCAACAGCATATTCCTGAGACTACAAAAAAAGTCCTGTACTATACTTCTTCCTCCGACAGACAGTTATCGAGATATTATAAACTAAACATTGAAAAAGTTATAAATTTTCTCTTGAATATCTCAAAAAGTATTTTTGTCTGAAACATTTTTCCATATCTCCCATATTTATCGAGAATTTCACCGGTCCGGTACTTTGTACTCACCCTGTATATGTATACACAATTAGATAAAATTATAAATGAACAAGTTTTCTCATATAAATTTATAAAATTATATAGAATTACATAAAATTATAAAGAATTATAAAGACATACAATATTATATAGAGAAACATATTTAATATATTATACATATATATATTTTATACTTACTTGTATTTCAGAGAAATTTGCCAGTACAAACGTCACGAAATTGATTACGGTAGAAATTGTGTCACTGGCCTGCAAATATAAATTCACTTTAACATTATATATATAGTTTTTTATTTATTGTATAAGTATTGGAAAACATTGTTTGTACCGTAAGCAACATAGTCATAATATTATCATGAAAATCTTTGTCTGTGAAGTTCATTTCTTGCGACGCTTCCGTCAGAATTTGGTAAAAAGTTGTATCTATATAACGAAAGAAATATACATATTAAATTAAACTAAGCATTTAAAATATGAACATAATTTTTGTTAATTATATGCTGGAAAACTTTAATTTTAAATCTAAACTACATTTTTATATAAAAATTAAAAGTAAATTTAAGTAGAAACAATTTTCTGGAAATGTATACTAATAAAAGAAAGTATTTAATATTGTTTTAGATAGTTCCGAACAATTTATATTGCCATCATTTTGCAAACGAAAGCATTTTCATAACTTTTATATGAAATGTGAATAAACTTACGAGTTCGGTTATTTCCATCTGTAGTATTCGGATTATTGAGATTATGTTTGAGCTGCTGTATCATCTATGTAATAATATATTATGTAATGGATAAAATAGTGCAAGATGTTAATAAATCTATTTATGGTAGCATTACCTCATCGCCAAGTGAATTTATCAAATCCGTATCTTTCTTCTGTTTGCGGCCCAATGCAATAATAGAGAATGTACCATCAAAAAATAATAATATAATATATTTTTTATTCTATGTGTAAAATTATTTTTGCACCTGAAACACGGTTTTATATAAAATCGAAATTTTTATACATTTATCGGATAAGGTTATAAAAGATTATTGAACATAACTGCGACTATTTAATGTGCAAAATTTTATAAATAGAAGGAGATATTGTTTTTTCAGTACTAAAGAACATATTTCTTCAGTAACAATATTAGTTTATTTGTAATAAATTGTAATAAATATTAATTTACAAAAATTAATAAATATACTACAAATTTTTTTGATACATGCAAATGTGATTTTTCATAGAAATATAAAATTTTGGAATTAAAAGAATTCTATATACATTCTGAATATAAAAATCTGTACCTCTAAAATGCTTTGACAATTTTTAATTTTCTTGAGTATCGGCAAATGTGCATTGTCAAGGTAGTCTGTATCTGTTTGTGAATTAAGGCTATTCGTTTGTTGGTTAATAAATAACATTTCTGAGATTAGTCTTCTCATATAAAAAGGCTCTTTAGGGGTAGTCTGATGCTTCCCAGGAAAAACTACGAACGCATATATGCGGCCTCTCTCTTCGCTTTATACGATATATGTCTCTGTTCAGCATCATATGTCTCCAGTACTCACGTTCAGTTCGAAAAAGGCTCTTTGTCCATGAATTTTAAATTGTCAAAATTGAAACTGTGTCCAGTTTGTATCTGATGCATTTCTTGTGTTCCTTGATATGTGTTTTTAACATTGCTAAAGCCTAATCTACAATGTGCTCTTTACATTTAGAAACATCCTATTTTGTAGACAATAAATATGTTTAAAAAATTTTTGCAAGTTGATAAATTGTATATTATATACATTGTCGACATATACATAAATTGTATATTATATACATTGTACAATTGTACATTGTCGACAAAGTTTTTAAGCTTTGATTTGCTGATATAAAATAGAATGTTTCTAGACGCAAAGAGCACATTGTAGATTAGGCTTAATTGACCCTGTCGTCAAATAATATGGATGCGTTATCAATACCATTCCAAGTATCCGATGATCGCATACACGTGTCCAAAGAACTGAAGAGAATTCGGGTAGTCAAACCTCAACACGAATCTCCACAATGCTGACCACACCGTCATAGCGAGAAAAACAGACTCCACACGTCCGTAACACACCTGAAGAAGGGTTGGAAGGAAGAAAGATGGCAGTGGGTAGCGAGGTTTAGATTAGGAGAAAAAATGAGAAGTGGTAGGTACTGGGCAAAGGAGGAAAAAAGGAAATGCAGAGTGTGTGAGTGGGAAGAGGAAAATTGGGAACATGTATGGGAGGAATGTACAGGTTGGGGAAGGAAGAAGGGGTGGAAGGAAATGGTAGAGGAGGTGCTGGAAGGAGGAGGCGAGGGAGAAAAATAGATGATAAGAATAATAGATTGGAGAGAGGGAAGGGATTTAGAAGGAATGCAAGAAGAAGGAATGGAAAGGAAGGAAGATGCGGCGGAAACGGAGGTCCAGAGCAATGGAGGAATGAATCTCTCCCTCAAGAGCGAATGAAAGAAACAAGTAGATGTAAAATAGGATAAGATAGAATAAGTTAGATATAAGGTTAGTATAAAAGAAATGTAAACGGAGCGGAGGTCCGTATGTACCCCGCGGGGTAAAATAAACATACATACATCCGTAACACATATCAACGATATCAGCGCACTAACAATTAATTTGTATAATCATTGAAAAGGGTTACCTTCAGTAGCCGAAACGTTTGACATATTAAATTTATCGATATTGATTTTTGAAAAACAATTCTACATGCGTGTTTCGTTTCTCCCCATCTTTTTTAAAAACGCAATATCGATTCTCACAATGTCGTCAACTGCTCCTAACGCCTTCATAATTAATCATAATTATCAATTTATCTTAAAAGAGTTTATTAATTAATGTACCTTATTTGCTTTGTTTAGGCTTTAACAGCCAGCGAGTTAGTTCATCTTCTGAAAGCAGACGTACTTCAAGTGACCACACAGGCTGATCGAGAGCAAAATACTGCAGAGGAATTACAAACGAGCCAGCCGTTAACGGAACCCAGAGTGGAGCATAATAATTAGTTTCCATTAGGTTACAAAGTGAGACGTCATGTCGGAGGTTGAAGCGTTGTCTGGCAAAGTCTTCCTACTGGTAACTGGTGCGAGTCGCGGTATTGGAAGGCAAATTGCGATCACTTTCGGTTCGCTACTGGAGGAAGGCTCGCGTGCACTCTTATTAGCAAGGAATAAGGATGCATTGCAAGAAGTTGCGAGTAATATACCTTCCAAAGTTAAAGTTCACACTGTTAGCACGGATTTAAGTAAATCAACTGATGTTAAGTTCAAAGGTAAATCAATGTTCCCATCTCGAACATCGGGCATATTAATACTTTTAGGTGCACAACTGCTGAAAGAAAAATAATTTCATTGCTATAATATTCTAGAGTTCATATCAGAAGCTTTGAGCGGAACTGCTACCAACGCATTTGATCGAGTAGTCCTGGTACACAATGTGGGTTCAATGGGTAATATCTCTCGATTTGTCAACACTATACTGGATGTGAACACCTGGAGAGAACTTTACGACTTAAACTTTTTCATACCCGCCGTATTAAACGCGGTGGTCATGAATACATTTGATAAAAGTATCAAGAAGACAGTTATCAATATAACATCGTTATACGGTATTCAAGCAGGCATTGGCTGTGGCCAATATTGCTCGGTGAAAGCAGCACGAGAAATGTACTTTAAGGTATACACACACACATATATGTATACATATATACATACATATATATATGCCCTTATGTGCGCGTATTTCGTGATTAGAGAGTACATTTTTTAAATATACCGGTATATTTAAAAAATGTACTCTTTAATCACGAAATAGATAGAATATTTTTCCATATATTCATGTGTTTTTTATTTGTATAGGTGTTTGCTTTAGAAAATCCCGACATTAATGTGTTAAATTATGCACCGGGACCTGTTGACACGGATATGTTCAAATATGTATGCGAATCTATCGCTGATCTTGAAGCTAAAAAAATGTATAATGAGATGCGACAAAACAAAACTATGTTGACAACAGAGCAAACGGTTAATCGTCTTGTTCAAGTCTTGAAAGAACGTAAATACAATTCGGCTGATCATGTTGATTATTACGATAAATTGTGAGGCAAAAACAATAATGTTTGTACATAGAAAAACAGAGAAAATAAAGTATAAAATTTCTTAGCGAATAAACTAAGTTTTTTTTAAATTGAATATAATTATAAATATTATAAATAATTTGTTGTATATTTTTGAAGATGCAATGTAACAATTTACGAAATAAAGTCATAATTGGGGAGCACAATCTTCTATCTAATGTTAACAAACGAGCTCTGCGAAAATAACCATAGTCATGATCTTGCAAACTAAATACCCATTTCTCAACTGTTCGAATACTTCTTCTAACTAATGCGTTTCAAAATAGTAAAATTTTCTATTTTTATCACGAGACACGGTAGTGTCTCGCGCCAAGTATAAGCGACAAACTTGTTGGGTTTTGACAAGCGTAATAAATTTCCACTGCGGATGTGCGATAAAGGTGCTGATTTATTTCAGTACAAAGGAGAGAACGTAATATAATGCTCGTGTACAGAGAAGAGCACTTCAGTGTGACTGGTAGTTTTTTTTAGAAGAGAGGGGGGGAGGGCAGGTTGGCAGTCTGTTTTCAAGTGGGGGCAACATAAAAGATGCGTCGGTAAAGACTAAATTCCCCAACACTCCCGCTTTGGCTTTATCGATTATCCTCGACTTCTTCCCTCTTTGGTTTGTTGCTCTTTTCTTGGACTCCTAATCCGTCACGGTTATGTTGAAATTGCTGTCGAGGTAGTGGTTTCGTAAGGATGTCCGCCTGTTGTTCATTCGATGTCACGTATTCCTTTGAGAACTGTTTCTGAGCGTATTGTTCCCGCACATAGTGGAATCTAACATCAATGTGCTTCACCCGTTTATGAAATACTGGGTTCTTCACGAGGCATATAGCGCTCTGGTTATCCATGTACAACGTCGTGGGGATGTCTCTGATGTTCTGGAGTTCTTTGATGAGAGACTTCATCCATGCGATTTCTTTTGCAGTTTGGCATGCAGCCATATATTCCGCGTCCGTAGTCGAGAGTGCAACGGACCGTTGCCTTTGCGAGTTCCAGGAGACTGTTCCTGAGGTGAATTTTAGAACGAATCCAGTCGTTGATCGTCGCGTCTCTAATTCTCCTGCGTAATCTGCGTCACTGTAGGCGAGTAGTTCCTTTTTCTTGCCGCAGTCGAATTTTAGCCCGTATCTCGTGGTACCTTTGAGGTACTTGATTATGCGCTTTACAGCTTTCCAGTGGGCCGTCGTGGGATTTTCCAAGTAGCGGCTTGCCTGATGCACCGCGAATGTGATATCGGGTCTGGTTGCTACTGATAGGTACATGAGCCTTCCGACAGCTTCACGATAGGGAGCCGTTGTCACGTCGCTTTGGTCTCCCGCTTTCGCTAGAGGGCTCATTTCTTGATGCGGATCCGCCGGGTCACAGGGTTTGCCTCTTCCATCCTGGGGCCCCGATTCTTGAATTTATTCGAAGAAGAAACGTATACGAAAATTCTGCTCTGACAGAAAAGTTGAAAGTCGATTGGTTGAAGCCACACGAATAGCCGATCAACTTGCAACTTTTCTGTAAGAGCAGAATTTTCGCATACGTTTCTCCTTCGAACAAATTCAAGAATCGAGCCCCTGAATCGCTCCAAGATCCTCTTCGTATATGTTTCTTGGTGCACGAAGATCGACCCGTCTAACGCTCGCTCTATTTGCACCCCCAAGAACAAACTTGCATCGTTATGTGTTATCTCGAACTCTGTTGTGAGACCCTCGATAAGCTCGTTGATCAACGCTTGGTCCTGAGAGACGATGAGTCCATCGTCTATGTAGATTGCCAGTATTAGCTTCTTGTTGTTCTTTTGGTTGGTGAACACGCAGGGATCCGCGTTTGTTGCCCGCAGGTCGAATTTTTTTAAAAAATCGGTAAAGCGTCGATTCCAGCAGCGGGATGATTGTTTGAGACCGTATAAACTTCGTTTTAGTCTGCAAACTTTTCCGGTCCCGTCTTTGTATCCCTCAGGTTGTTGCATATAAATTGTTTCCTCGATATCGCCGTATAGAAATGCCGTTTTGACGTCAAACTGCTTTATTTGCATACGGTCGCTCGCAGCAATGGCAAGAATAGTTCGGATTGAGTCGAATCGAACCACCGGACTGTGAGTCTCTTGGTAGTCGATCCCCTTTTGCTGCCTAAATCCGCGTGCGACGAGTCTCGCTTTATGTCGTTGAACATTCCCGTTAGCGTCTCTCTTTATTTTGAATGTCCACTTGCAGTCTATTGTTCTTGGGTTGTTGGCTGCTTCCACGAGTTCCCATGCGTTGTTTCGTGTGAGGGACTCGAATTCTTCGTCCATGGCTTTCTTCCACTGCGTTGCTTCTTTGCTTTCGATAGCCTCGCGATATGAGAGGGTTTCCTGACCTTCGGCCATGAATGTGTAGTTGACGAAGTCGCGGTATCTCTCAGGTAGTCTCAGCATCCCTCTATCTCTTAGATCGTAGCCTTCGTTTCGAGGCTCCGCTGCTCTTTCGGGTTCGATTTGAGGCCTCATTGCCTCGAGTGGATCGACTATCGCCGGGTTCTCTTGCGCCTCTTCATTTCCTCTCTGTTGCTCGACCATCTGTTCCTCGTCGTCCTCGATCACCTCAGTGTCACCGTCAGGGTTTTCTCGTTCGCGTTCCTCGTCCAGCCATGCTTCATCGTCGTCCCGTACTTTTTGCATGATCACTCGATCGAATTTTCCAGAGAAGACGACATCTCTGACGATTTCGATTTTCTTTTCGTCGGGGTACCATACCCGGTATCCCTTGGTTTCTTCACCGTAGCCCACGAAGTATCCTCTTCTGGCTTTTGCGTCGAGTGCTCGACGCTTTTCCTTGGGCACATGCGCGAAAACCTCTTCGCCGAAGATGTGAAGGTTCATCACGTCTGGTTTCTTCCCGAACCACAATTCTGACGGTGTGGCACCTTTTATGCTACTGGTTCCGACCCGATTCAAGGTGGCCACCGCCGTGTTGATGGCTTCCGCCCAAAATTCCGCGTCGAAACCTCTCGCGATCATGAGCGTCCTTCCTGCTTCCTTCAGGGTGCGATTGTCCCTTTCCGCGGAACCATTTTGCTCTGGGGTGTATACAACCGTTCGTTGGTGCCGAATCCCGAGTTGATCCGTCAATGTTTTCATCTCGCTGTTGACGAATTCAAGTCCATTGTCCGTACGAAGTATACGAATGCCTCCTGGGCAATGTTTCTCCGCCTTCTTGAAGAATTTTCTAACGCAGCTCGTAGTTTCCGCTTTGCTCTCGAGGAAGTACACTTCGCGATAGTGCGAATAGTCGTCCTTCAATAGGAGGAAATATCTCGATCCTCCGAGGGATTTCGTGGGCATCGGGCCGCAAAGATCGGCGTGTATAATCTCTCCGATGCTCTCGGACTTCGATGTGCTTTCCGGAAACGGGAGACGGTGCATTTTTCCGACAGTGCACGCCTCGCAGAATGGGTCCTTTCCGTCCTCGATAGATACGTTTAACCTCCTGAGTATTTGTCTCACGTGCTTGAAGTTTTGGTGAGCCATTTTCTCGTGCCAGTTTTGTAGCGCTTCAGCCGTGCATGTGTACGCCTGCGCAGGATCCAGTTTTCTTCTCGGCGACCTTGGCTCCTCGGTTTTGAATTGCATGGTGTAAAGTTTCCCTTGTTGTATCCCCGTTGCGATTGTGCGTCCATTCCTGATCAGTTCGCAGGTTGTGCTCGTTGATCGCATCTTAAGTCCTTTGTCGAGCGCCGCGCCAACTGAAAATAAATTGTGTTTTATTTTCGGTACGTGCAATACATTCATGAGGTGGTTCTCGTTCCAGCTCTCTCCGTCGAACATAATGACGTTGATGCAGCCTCTTCCGTAAGCCCTGATGCGACCCCCGTCACCGATGCGCACTTCCATGGGAGTATCGAAGGTTTCGTATGTTGTGAACCAGTCTCGTCGATAGGACATGTGATCGCTCGCTCTGGAATCCAGTATCCAGCTTGCATTTTCTGCGGGCTGTGAGAATGCCGTGGTGAGCGCTACGCTCACCAGGCCTTCGCCTTGGGGTTTCTTCCCGGATGAGTTGCTGCCTTCTGATCCTCCTGTATCGTCGTCTCCTTTCTTCTGCGAACAGTCTCTGGCCCAATGTCCGGCTTCTCCACAGACGTAGCATTTTCCTGGCTTCGTTGGACCCTTCGACGCACCTCTGGATTTGCCGCCTCTGCCGCGCTTGGGCTTTCCACGTTGCGCGTTCGATGTGAGAGCGTTACCATCTTTCTCTCCTCGCGCTGTGCTTCGTGACTCTTCGGATATAAGTCTTGCTTTCAGGTTGTCGAGCGTGCGCTCTCCCGCTGGCGCTGATTCCCAGGCGCTGACGAAATATCGGAAGCTTTCGGGCAGGGTCATTAGGATTTTCGTGATTATCATCGAGTCTGAAATTTTCTCATCCATTAGTTTGAGTCGATGTGCTATGTCCTCCAGCTTGGCGATGTATGTTGAGATATTGTCTGGTTTCTGTTTCGCGGCGTTGTACCATTCTTGTTGAAGTATGTGTACGCTTGCTTCGGATCTTTGCTCGTAGATCGAGGACAATTTTTGCCACATTTTCGCTGCTGTCGTGCAATTTATTATATGCAACGTCGGCTGCGGTCCGACGGTCGTCACAATTACCTTTTGCGCCGTAGCGTCGATTCTCCTCCATGCCGCGAGTTCCTTCATGTATGTAGCTCGCGCGGTTTCGTTTGCGCCCTCAGCGAGTGTCGGTCTTAAGCCCGTTCCCGATGCAACATCCCATGCACCATACGAGTTTAGAATTACTCGTATCTGGAACTTCCAAACTGCCCAATTCTCTTTGTTTGTCAGCTTGGCGACTCTTGTAAGCTCGCTTTCCATTTTGACGGTTATTCGTTTCCACTGTTGCACGAGGCCGGGGAGATAACCTCAAAAAAGGCGTCACGGTTCCAATGTACCGAAAGATAGGTCCTTTTTCTTTTAAAAAGGTTTATCGCACTTTATGCCTGAGCCCATAATTTAACCTGTTGGGTTTTGACAAGCGTAATAAATTTCCACTGCGGATGTGCGATAAAGGTGCTGATTTATTTCAGTACAAAGGAGAGAACGTAATTCTTCTTCTTCTTCCTCCGGTTGTTTGGCACCTGGACGCTAAACGCGATCCGATACGGCCATGACGAGAGAGAACGTAATATAATGCTCGTG